ATTCAATAGAACACCACTGTGCCCACACTTTCTGGATGATGTCAGTTTATGAGAGTTTCTTTGTTCTTTAAGTTATGCTTTTATTGCATGGCAATTACTATACTTTCTCCTAATTTTTCCCCAGTTCTGGGGACTGAATTCAGTGTTTCAGGCATGCTATGTAAGCATTCTCAGCCACACCCCCAGACCTTCTTATTTTATTTTGAGACTGGGTCTCACGACATTGCCGAGGATGGCTTTGAACTTGCAATCCTCCTGCCTCAGCCTGCTGAGTAGCTGAAATTATAGCCATGCCATTGTGCCTGGCTACTTTCTCCTAAATTTTAACTTACTTGATCTTTGCTTTAAATTTCAATACCAATACTCAGAAAATCTGGCAATTATAGATAACATTTTTTAGGAAGTTGTCACTGACTTTATTTTGTCAGGAAATATGCTTCTTTCGTTTTTAAAACAACACACCAAAGTTATTTCTATTGCAGTTGAATGAATTTAAATCACTTAACCACTATAAGTATGGGAGACCCTGACATCATCTTCCAAATCACAGATGCACCAGAAACAGATGGTGCATGGATGGGAACAAGGAGGTATTTAGTCAATATTTATTATTTTTACCAGCTTCACACCAAATTCACTCTGCATTAATTATGTTGGAGGGGAGAGTATTGAGCAGGGTGGAGAGTTTATCAGCTCCTCAACTTAATGTTCCATATCAGCACTTAATTTATTCAGAATATTTTTGGATTGTTGGTTTTGCTTTATATGAAAATACAATGATTTATATTATTTGGAAAATACAATTTTTTTCCTAAAGTATTCTTAGTTGCAGATGGACACAATACCTTTATTTAATTTATTTATTTTTTATATGGTGCTGAGAATATAACCCAATGCCTCACAAATGCAAGGCAAGTGCTCTATCACTGAGCTACAACCCCAGTCCCCCATAGGTGTCCTTTTACAGTTTTTCAGGTAACTACTGAACACTTTCAAATATACGTTGTAAAACATTGACTAAAAAGTATCCCCAAACATTCATTTCAGTTGACTAACATAAGAAAATGGGATATTGATGTAATTAAACTACTCTTATTAATAAATTTTTATTAATTGAGTTGCCAATTTTGAATGATTTAAATGATAACTAAAATGCAGTAACCAATAAAATATTAATTTTTATTATGTCTATTAGAATCTACACTATACTAGATCAAGAAGAAACATAAACAGAGAAACAGCTAACATTTACTAAGTACTGAGCTAAGTATTTACACTTGTCAATCACAAGTCTGGTTCTGTTTTATAAATTAGGACATTTAGGCTTAAAAGATTAAACATGTTGTTCTAAATAGTGATTTTTTTGACTACAACAGTAATAGAAACTCTCAGAAAAGAGTAGGGTAGACCAAACAGAGAATGCTACTAAAGAACTTGGCTGAAAATGGGCCTTAATAGCCACAGTTTATACTACAGATTTTTAAGAACCATAAAATAATAAGAAAGAATAAAAAAATATGGGGGACCAACATTGGGTCCACAAATTTTGCTTGTGACCAGCTTATTCTGGTTTTGAAACAGTAGCTTTAAAATTCATTTCAGTAGTCACATCATGCACTCAGTTGCCTTGGAAACAGGCACCATTATTACTAGCAACTTCAAGGATTTTAATACTCATTTCTTTTTCTTACATGCAGATTAACTTCATATTTATGTTCCCATTATTATGTTATTATAACCAAAACTCAAATCCTGTTAAAAACTGTTAAGATAGAAACCAAACAGATTAGCAAACAAAGCAAACAAATAGATTGACTTCAAATATATAGCTGAGTTTTGCAGATGGTTAAGACAAAAGGTATTAGAAACTCTGTTAACACTAAGAAAAGCAGAGTTTTGTAATCATCTGAGTTTTGCTTTCATTATCTGTAAAATAAGGGCCCTGAAACACATGATGTTTAAAGCCACTTCCAACTCTAATATTTTATCTTCACATATATTGTTTTTAAATGTACATTTTGTAAGTCTCAGGTTTCACATATAAACTCTGGATTCCTTTTGGACATGAGAACTCAAATTGTAGGACCATCCAGATAACCAGAAGTCTTTTAGTAAGCATTAAGCAGTGGAGAACTAGCTTAGTTTACGTGATAACTGGCCAGTCCGAAAATAAAGACGTGAACAAACAAATAGACAAAATAGTTAGATTGGGCTAAGTGTTATGAAGGAAGTTGGACAGGGCATTGGAAGTAAAGTGATGAATGGGTACAGAAGCAAATAGGTGAGCAGGAAATTCTTCTCTGAGGAAATGACATTTAAGCTGAGATGTAATGCACGGAAAGGTCCAAGAAAAGAGTGTAAAAGCAAAAATAAGAGCATGAAATTATGGCATTTGCCAGTAAATGGATGGAGCTGGAGAATATTATGTTAAGTGAAATAAGCCAATTCCAAAGGCCAAATGTTTTCTCTGATATACAGATACTAACTGACAATGGGTGGGGGTGGCTAGGGAAGAATAGAGATACTTTGGATTAACAGAGGGGAATGAAGGGAGGGGAGGGGATATGGGGATATGAAGGATAGTAGAATGAATCAGACATTATTACCCTATATGCATATATGATTAGATGACCAGTCTAACTCTACATTGTGTACAACAAGAGAATGAGGAGCTATACTCCATTTATGTATGATGTATCAAAATGCATTATTTTGTCATATAAAACTAATTAGAACAAATAAAAAATTATTAAGAAAAAGAGAAGAGCAAGTGCAAAGGCCTGAAAAAAGAAAAGGTGAGCATATCCTGGGAAATGTGGAAGCCTAGTATTGCTGGATCCTATGAACTAGGAGGAGATTGGTACCAAACCAGCGGGAGACAGGAACTATACCCGTGGCCCCAGTCCATGATACAAGGTTTGTCTGAGCAGCATAATGTTATACTTTTTCTTGGTGTTAATGTACTTTGGTGGGGGATCCTACAGATTACCAGGTAACCACCACTCTCTCCCTGAAGTCCTCAGCTGGACTCAGACTCATCTCACATTTATGGTTACTTGGCTGGCTCCTATGTGAATTTCCAACTTCAACTAGAATCTATAAAGAACGACAAAGGGTTTGGGTTTCACCTCAAGTGTGATGAGAGGGCACTGAAAGGTTTTAAGCTGGGGAGTGGTGGGATGTGATCCCTATACCTAAAGTCCACTCTAACCTCTGTGCAGAGAATAGGTCCCAGGAGGTCAGATGGAGAAAGGGAAGCCAAAGGAAGTTTTGCAGGAGTAAGGGCTGGTGGGACTTTTTGGTACTAAAGATTGTGTTCATCAGGACTGGGGCTGTGGCTCATCTGTAGAGTGTTCCCCTAGCCTGTGCAAGGTTTGATCCTCAGTACCTCATAAAAAATAAATGAATAAATAAAATAAAGGTATTGTGTCCAACTAAAACTAAAACAAAAATTTAAAAAAATTGTGTTTATCACTGATCTGAAGATGGAAGAAGTCATCAGGCGGAGAAGACCAACTTCTCAAAAATACTGCCTCACCCAGCCTTTCCATTAGAACATCATTTACATGATAACCTGCTGTTTTTGAGAATGGAGTCTTTTTACCTAGACATAAGTATTAGGCAGGTTCTCAGTGGTCTGGAAAAGATTCAGAGGTCAAAACTATTTTCATGGGGCTGGGGTGGTAGCTCAGCAGTAGAGCACTCGCCTAGCATGCTCAAGGCCTGGTTCAATCCTTAGCACCACATAAAAATAAATAAATAAAATAAAGGTATTGTGACCACCTACAACTAAAAACTCTTTTCATAATAATACTAAGAAGTTGCCTTTGTCTGCTTGAGTTAGGACCAAATACCATATACTGGGTGTCTTAAACAATAGAAATTTCTCATAGGTCTGTAGGCTGTGAAGTCCAAGCTTGCCACTTAGGTCCTGGAGGGGCTCTCCTCCTGGCTTGCAGATATCTGCCTTCTTGCTGTGGTCTCACATGTCAGAGACCAAGCTATCCATTTCTAAGCCTATACGAATATTAAACCTATGGGATCAGGACTCCACCCATATGACCTTATTTAACCTTAATCACTTTTTTACCGCAAATACAGCCACACTGGGGGTTAGAGCTTCAACACATTAATTTTGGGGAAGGGGAAGGGCACCATTCAGTCCATAGTAGATGTATTGCCATCCTCATTCTCAGAAGAATACAGCAGAGTCTTCCAGTGACTACATAATAATGTATTAGCAACAAATTGTACAGCAGAAAGAAATCTGATAAGTGAGCAGTCCTCTACTAAACCAAACATTAAAACAATTTGCAAAAGTGCAAACTATTATCACTCTTTTAAGTACAGTTTTGGTACTGTTGAAAATCTAATTATTTTTCAATAAGAATATGTTGTATTAACATGTAATGGATTCTTTTAAAAAACGTAATGGAGTTTTCTTTTTAAATGAATTAAATTCTGTTGCATTTTTTGTAAGGTAAATATGGATATAAGTAACCTACTACACACATATTTCTCACTCATTCTTTCATGGGATGAAGGAACCCTAAATCCAAAGCATCTACGTCATTGTCAGGTGAACTATCTCAGACATCACTGCCCCTGTCTGCACAGGTCTCACAGCTCTGTAAAGTTGGATCCTCCCCTTCCTTCTTCTCGGGCTGTTCCCCGGCTCCCACATCTCGGGCCAACCTGCATCCCCACAAGCCAACGCAACCCAAGGCCAGCTCTCCACTCCACTGCACTCTGGATTCCGCACCACCACCGTCCCTCGCCACTCTTAGCCTTCAGCGCGTCGCAGCCCAGAGACGTCCAGCAGCCCGCCCGGCAGCCGCCGGCTCCCCTCGGCCACCCTGGCCGCTGCGCCTACCGGCCAGGCAGGCGGTGGTGTCAATCCACTTGAGCAGCTGCCCGGCGCTCAGCTCCCCGCGGGCGTTGGCGTGCGCCGGCTGGATGGCCTGGCTCATGCGCACCTCGCCCGGCGCCGCCAGCCGCTCCATGTCCAGGCCGAGAGAGGGGAGCCCCGGGCTCGGGGCGCCTGGCCTGGAGGTGTCCGCCAGCCGGGCCCGCCCCCGTTCCAAAGGGCGCCGCCCGCCCTGGTTGCGAACCCCACTCCCACTCCCCCACAGCCAGGTGCTTCTGGAGGTGAGAGTTCAGTGCTGGCAGTGTTGTCCCTGACAAGCGGGGAGGCGAAGGAGCACGCTTTTCTGCCTAGGAAGAAACCGGGGAACCGTCCGATGTCTCCGGAGAGAAAAGTGCTTCTCTCTCTGAGAACCCTGCACAGAATTTAGTGAGAGCGCGCGGGGAAGTGTGCACCTACCTGGCTAAAGGATTATAGGTATTTACTAAGCAAATAAATACAGTGATCGTCTGTCTGCAGAACTTGACAGGCGAGGAGGCAATAAATAGTGATTAAATCCTCTCCAGAGAATGTAAAACGTTTGCTTTAGCCACTGATTTAAGAGTGCTTCACTTTCGTTATTTGTTTAGTTGGGTTTTGTTTGCTGCTTGCCAGGCCACATAGGCACTCACTGCTTAAGCCCTAGTTCAAAATCCACCTCTGACTCTTAGAATATTATAGTGGATCCAAAGATCATTTGTTAGGAAATGGTTTCCTCTGCCAAGCAAACCAAGTAAAAGGGGCGGGGGCTCAGGGAGGCTGAGGCTTGGAGGTGGATCAGAGTCACCTAAAAAGAAAAGGTTTGTTTTGGGTTTCATCTAGAGTTTAAAACTGGAGACTTCCCATCTTGTTAGGAATAGTCCCCACGCTTTCCAAAAGAATCTGAATCTTTTTTATTTTTTTTTTAAACCGGGGGATAAACCCCAGATGAGAGTTTTTCATGCTCAGCAACAAAAGTTGTTACACTTCCTAGAGCTGCAATCACTGATGTTACAGAGCAGTTCTCACTAGAGAAACCATGACCTCAGAAAACCTCCAGCATATACTAGATCTATGGATGTTTCATTGTTAGGGCAGGCTGTCATGGGGAGCATATTTAGTGATGAAGAAAAGGATGATTGGAGAAGGAGGCAAAGGGTCTGACATGCAGCTAAGTGGGTAGGACCGCCTGACTTCCTAGGGAGTTTACCAAGAAATCTAATGGCCTTTAATGACTAGGTGGTGCTTTTTCATCCTCATATCTTTAGGCTGCCAAGCCCCAGCATGGAGAGAGCAAAATGGAGATTCTGATAATTGAAATATATATATATATATATATATATATATATATATATATATATATATATATTCATTTTTATTATATATTATTTTATATATAATAAAAATGAATATATATATTCATTTTTATTATATATAAAATAATTTATTTATATATATAAATAAATTATATATATATATATATATATATATATATGAATGAGAGAAAATAAAGAAACATTGACTCAATAGTTTTAGAATTTTCCTAGCCCTTATAAGCATAAATAAAAATGTGATGCATTCCATTAGCCAAGTATAAAGCTTGGCTTTTATAAAAAGCATAAAAATGACTATTTGGCATGAATATGGGGGATGGGTTCTCCCGTGTTACTCAGACTAGTCTCAAATTCATGATCTTCCCACCTCAGTCTCCTGAGTAGCTGGAATTACAGTCTACTGTGCCCTGCTAAAAATAGCTCCTTAAAAAATAAAGGGGGCCTGGGTTGTGGCTCAGTGGTAGAGTACTTGCCAAGCATACATGAGGCATTGGCTTTGATCTGGGCACTACATAAAAATAAAAATAAAAACAAGATAAAGGTATTGTGTCCATCTACAACTAAAAAAAATATTTTAAAAAAATTAATTAAAGGGATTGGGGTTGTAGTTCAATGGTAGAGTGCTTTTCTTGCTCTTGCATGTGTGAGGCCCTGGGTTCGATCTTCAGTACCACATAAAGATAAATAAATAAAATAAAGGTATTGTATCCATCTACAACTACAAAAACATATTTTAAAAAAATGCATTAGAGGCTGGGGCTCTGGCTCAGCAGCAGTGCACCTGCCTGGTGTGAGTGAGGCACTGAGTTTGATTCTTAGCACTGCATGTAAATAAATAAAATAAAGGTATATCTACAACTAAAAACATATTTTAAAATTAATTAATTAATTAATTAAAGCTTCTGCATCCCAGATAGTCCTCTTTTGTAACTATACTCATTTCAATTATAATGTTATCATATTGGTAGTTTGTTTGGCAATTCTCTTGGAAAATCAGAAAATACCTGTAGAATTCTTAATACCTTTTTTCAATATCTTCTGTATTGACGAATCAATTTAGGAATCAGTAGATTGGATTGTTGTTCATCACATAATCCATCTACTGATAACTCCATAGGAAGAATTTATTGATGGTGGACTTGGCCAGGAGACTTACCCTGGAATGGAAGGTGGGGAGATAACAGTGTATCAGTTCTAAGCCTTGCCCTTAGAGGAACCATGTATTTCTGTCCTCAGGAACATCTGACTTCTGCCATAAGAAGATTATATACCTAATTAGAAGCCTGTTGGCATCTGACTGAATTCACATAGTGGTGAGCCATTCCAGTCGATCTGCAGATAGGCAGGTTTATGAATGAGACATAACTACCGTTGTGTGCCACTGTGATATTTGGGGTTGTCTGTTACACAGTAATAACTAACAGTTACACAAGTGAATTTTATTGTTTAAAATTTTAAGAAATTTATTAAATTATTGGAAATAAAGCTTATGTTTAGGCTAAACTGTTTTATTATTTAGTAAAAAGTGGTGACTGAAAAACTGAAGTGTATACTTCAATATTGAATTATGTGTATGCTGTTATACTTGATTTCTTAAAATTCAGAAATTTCAAAAATGTTTAAGCATAGGTGTAAGAAGGTAGCTTTCCAAAGTGATTATCTGAAAGGGGATAGTATGTATCTGTATATGTATGTCTAGAGATGACTGATTGATCAAAAAGCAGACCCAGTATATACAAACTCATGATTATATTTTCTTATCTTTATTATCTGCTGTTTATATGTCTTTTGATTATAGCTTCATCTCTTTTGTTGGCTTCATACTGATTTTCATTTTAATAGCCCCTGCCAGAAACTACTGTTTTTGTATTTTTCTGAATGGTGTTTCTCTCCCTTTCACATGAAAATGTCATCTGCATGTGTGAACATTTGCTATCTCCACTTCTCTCTGATGTCAAGGATTTTTGTTATTATGTTGGAAGAAAAGGCCTCCATTTTCCATTTGTGTTCAGAGACATCTTTGAATGTGAGCAGAATGTGAAGCTAGCCTGATTTTAAAAGGTCATGCACAAGAGTAGGAAAACTTACCAAGCAGAGAAGCAAAAGTTCCATAATTGCTAAAATAATGAGGAAGTCTTCAGAGTGCTACAATGGGAAAGGAAGCTAGACATTCTAAACCCTCATCCAAGTATGGGGAAATTGTGTCTGCCCTGGATCAGCAGGTAGGGACGGGTCTTGTGAAAACAAAGAGCACAGAATACAAGAAGTGAGATAGGAAAACAACTCTTTCCAGATGCAGACTCCTGAATAAGAATTTGGGAACTAGCAGTTTATTCGAGGGGAACTTCAGAAGGTCCTGGTAGAGTCCCCAAGTGAGGTCCCCAGGTGTGCAGCATGGGCATCACCTGGAAGCTTGTTGGAGATGCAGAAGCTGGAGTTTTTCCTCTGGCTTGAATCCTCCACTGATTAAGGGTTGCTCTCAGACACTTAAAGTCCCAGGACTTCTGCTGACTGCTGGGCAAGATCTAGCTCTCAGATGGCACTTCCCCTTGGCAGGGCAGGAGGATACTGTCAGCTTGCACTTGGGCATGCAGTGGAGATTTGTCAAAGCCCTGCGGACAGGCATGGAGAACTGAATATTCACCCTGCCCTGAACTGAGTGGCAGCTGGGAGCCTTTTCGTTGTAGGAGACAAATCCCAGGCAGAGAGTTTGGTCGCTCAGGGTATTTCATACAGTGATTAGCTTTATTAACAATCAGACTGTCTCCACCTTTGATATGAAAAGTACCAGGTCAATGTTTTCAAATACAATTTCATAAGAATATGATTCAAAGTTATAGAGAGCTCCTGAGTAAAAATTGCAGAACTTGTTTTCTTATGTTTGTGCTGCCAAATTCTTGATTAGAATGTCTCCTACTCTTCTCTACCCTGGACGCTGCTCAAGGGATGATGACTCTGACCTTGGAGCATGTGGGTGCCCTGCTTGCACTGTTTCATTTAGCACCTGGATCCTCACGCTGACCTTTCTCCCATTTGTCTCTGGACATTCAGACTCACCTAATGTGTGCGGAGTGTAATACTTTGTTTTGTTTGAACAAAAGCCATGTGTAACAGAGTTTAATTTTCTTTTTATCTCCTCAGATTTGCATGATCCTTGATCAATGCTCAGGGGAGTCCCCCTGACTGCCACCACTACTGCCATCATTGATTGTTTTCAAATACTGTATCCCATTTTGTCATGACATATAGTTCTTTCATGTACTGCTGATTTCTACTTCCTAATATTTTGTTGAAGATTTTGACATCAACATTTTTGAGATATATTGGTCTGTAGATGTTCCCCATCCCTCCCTGCCTCTCTCCCTCCCCCTCTCCCTATCTCTCTCTCTCTCTCCCTCACCCTTTCCTTCCCTCCCTCCTTTGAACTGTCTTTGTATGGTTTTTGTGTCAGGTTCATAAAATGAGCTGGGAAGTGCTCCCCTCAGTATTCTGGAGGAGATTGTGTAGATTTGATATCCTTTAAACAACTATCTGAACCCTGGAGATTTCATTTTTGGAAATTTTAAAATTATGGAATCATTTTTTAAAAAAAATACTTATTGGACTACTCAAATTATCTAGTTCAATCTGGGGTGATTCGTGGTCATGTCTGGTTTGGCCTGCTTTATATTGAGAAGGTGATTTGCTATAGGCAGAGCTGAGCTCAAGTCTGACTTGGTGCCACTCTCCCACTTGGCAGAGCAGTCTCATCTCAACTTGGTCCTGACAGCTCTCACTTCCTGCCCCTGATCTCTCTGGTCTCCAGACCACAGGTTTTCTTGGTTTCTAAACTGGTTTTCAAGATTCTCCAGCTATAACCCATAGTGAGTCATAAGCTCTGAGGGCAAGAACAATAGCCTATTTTACAAAACAGCCACCTGACTTGTTCATTAGTGCTTAGGAACTGCTGTTATAGAATGTCTTTCATCAGAAGGATAAAGCATACCTTGCATTTTTCCCCCAAATGCCTTCAGATTAACAGGGGCCATTTAAGGACAGTGATGGGAGAGAAAAAGCCAGAGTCTTGGGTCTGTAGAAGTGTGATTGTGTCTTATTTATCAGGCTTCTCAAGTGACATTCTGTCCCTGACCATCCACAGGCTTAAGGTCAGTCTTGATTTTTCTTTTCTTTTTTTTTTTTTTTTTGATGTGTGTGCGTGTGTGTTTAAACAACCACCATCAGAGAAACCTGGAAAGTGCTGTACAGAGAGCTTATTTGTGAAGCATTTGAAAGTAAATAGCCAAACAGATGACCCATTGCCCACAAATACTTCAACAGGACATTCTCTTACTTAGCTGTAATACATTATCAAAATGAGGACGTTAACATTAATACATTATTGCCAACTAATTCTCCAAACCCACTCATGTTTCAAGATTTGTCCCAATGATGTCTTATGTTACATTCAGTGTTCCCTCCTTAGTCACCCTCAGTCTACAATGATTCTGAAGCCTTCCCTTGACTTTCATGACCTTGACACTTGTTAAGTTTACAGACCAGTTATTCTGTAAAATAATCTCAGTTTGGGTTGGTTGATGTCTCCCCATAGCCACATTGGGGTCATGCATCTTCGGCAGGGACATGAATAAGATCTGTCACATTTTTCCTAGTGCACCTTATAGGTGGTGCTTGATAGCCATCTGTCTCGTTATTGATGTTGTTCATTTTGGTCATTGTATTAAGTGATGTTTTCCAGGCTTCTTTTCTGTAAATTTTCCCTTTGGTAATTAATAAATATTTTGTGTAGAGCTACTTTGAAACAATTTAAATATCTCATTCCTCATTAAACTTTTTCATTTATTCATAAATTATTTATACCTGTATGGACTCATGGTTTCCTATTTAATTCAATAGATGTTACCTTGTTTTTATCACTACATATTTTCATGCTCAAATTGTCCCTCATTGGCCCTGAGGAAGCCCCTTCAAGCTGGCCTCTGTTTTTGTTGACTTGTACCCATTATTTTTTTTTTTAATATTTTTTAAGGCATCGATGGACCTTTATTTTGTTAATTTATTTATATGTGGTGCTGAGAATCGAACCCAGTGCCTCACACATGCCAGGCAAGCGCTCTGCCTCTGAGCCACAACTCCAGCTACCCATCATTCTTTTAGCAACTTACATTTTCCAAGGCTGCCAGATGTTCCAGGTTCACTTTGTACCCTCCCTCCTTGATCCTCAGTCCTGGATCCAGGCTTTTCTTCAAGCACTCCTGGTTCCTTTCAGTGGAAAGCAGTATTTGGAAGCCAAGATCTGATTGTGAGTTGTACTCGCTGCTATTTGAGTGTGATTGCTCCAGGCTCTCACTGTGGACACAGCTAGAAAGTGTGTGTGTCCATCTGTGATGGGTTGAATGATAGTCCCCCCAAAGACACATCCTGTATAAATCCACAGAACATGTGACTATTGCTTAACATGGCAAAAATGGGCCTAAGTATCTAAGAGTAGAAGCTTGCTTCTCTTGGGCTTTCTGAGTGTGTGTTGTGTTATCACACCTCTTATAGGACAGACACTCAGTGAGAAGACACACACAGGAAGAGAAGGAATTGTCCATGGAGACAGAATGCAGTGATGTGGGCACAAGCCAGAGAACACCTAGCCACGAGAAGCTGGATGAGGCAGAGAAGGACAAGCCCCTAGAGCTTTAGGAAGAAGCATGGCCTCAGTGATACCTTCAGTCTAGCCTCCAGGACAGTGGAGAATCTCTATTGTTTCAGGCCACCTAGATTGTGTTCATTTATTACAATAGCTCTAGGAATCTAATACATTGTCTAAAGCATCAGGCACCCTGCCCTGCCGTACTGGAATCAGGTGCACCCTGCAGAGGTCTTAGCCCTCGTGTGTTCACAGGGTGCTGGGTTCAAGACTCAAATGAGGGAACAAAGGAGCAAGAGTCTGAACCCCGGAAGCCCCCCCCGCCCCCCCCCCCCCCCCCCCCCCCCCCCCCGCAAGGACTCAGTGAGCATGTTGGTCAGCACTGGGTCCTTCGAGCAGGGTTTCAAGCTAGGCAGGCAGATTGAGACACTGTTTCATTTAGGAAGAGGGGTGCATGCTGAAGGTCAGAGACATTGCTGGGTATTAAAATGGACACAATTTATGCCCTATTGGGTAGAATCAATCTGTCCTGAAGAAGACTTCTGATAAAATTTTAGGAATGAAGCAAGGTTAGTGCTGATAAGTATCTAGATCCGAGAAGAATGCATGGTGACTTCCTATAAAGTAGCCTAGAAATTTGCTTCATAGCAGTTTGGCACTTTGTAAAGAACTCTTATTATTTGTGCTTTTGAAATTTTTGCCCAGATCTAAAGTTCCAGGGGGAATATCCACCTGATCAAGCTTAAGTCATATGTGACCCTAGGACTAGGGAAGGGAAGGGCACAGGGAGAGGTGAAATTTGTTTCCCTCAGTTTCAGTAGAGATTAGACAGGTGTACTTCTTAAAGAAGTTAAACCAGAGAGGGAGTAGCTTTCTCTAAAAGGAAATTGAGCTCTGATTAAGTATGGATATTGGGCAAAAGTTTTTAAATTATCAGTGATTCTTACAAGATCATTCAGAAATGGAGAAGAATATGAGTAAAGACAAATATTTAGTAATATTATTTACTCTGGATCAAGCTTCACCTGAAATCAACAGATCTTGGAAACTTCTAGTGGCTTGAACAAATAAGTTTCCCTTGTGCCTGCTCTCCCTTTATGGCTCTAAGTTCATTTGGGTTTGGTTATCTTTCATCTGTAACCAAAATATTTCCAACTGATATACCCCCATAATGCTCTTATAAAATTGCAGGCAGAACTTTATTTTCTTTTTATTTCTCATAAAATCATTCATTTCAATTCATTTTAAAATATGAGTGACATTTGTGTTGCTCGTTTATAGCTCATATCAGATGATTTATCCTGCCTATAATATCACATTTTAAAGTAATTTCTGTCAGATAGGTGGTATACTTTTATAATGATGTTTGAATACATTCTTTATAGTGTCCTAATAAAACAAAGATGACATTACATTGGAAAAGTTCTCTTTTTTTGTATAGCAATTTTGAAATCAAATTTTCAGCTGTGGAATTGATTGTGCTAAAAATGCAGAAACTATAGATTCAGCATGTCCTTACATTGTCAGGACAGTCAGCTACCTTCTCACTTTTGCAAGTCCTTCTTGGGTTCTATTATGGTTTTGATCTTGAAGAGCTTGTGTGGAAAGCATGATCCCCAATGTAGCAAGGTTCAGATGTGGGACTTTTAGCCAGTGATTAGGGCTCTGACCTCATCAGTGGATCAATCCACTTGCTGGATAAATACATTGATAGCTCATGGATTACAGGATGCTAATTCTAGGCAGATGGGGTATGCCTGAGGAAGTTGGTCACTGGGGGCATGATCTTGAAGACTATATCAGCCCCTGACCCCTTCCTGACTCTCTCTTTCTCTGCTTCCTGGCCACATGCTCTTCTGCCATGTTCCTCTGCCTCACTTCAAGTCCAGAACAATGGAGTCCCCCAGCCATATATTGAATCTCTGAAACTATGAGCAAAAACATAAATTTTTCCTCCTCTAAGTTGTTCTTGTCAGGTATTTTGGCCACAGTAGTGAAAAGCTAACCAGGTGCTGTGGGGAACACAAGACAGCATCATCCAGGGGCCAATCAGTTCCTATCCTTGTGGAAAACTAAAAAATGTAACCAAAGTTTTTATAGTAGCACATTATCCTAAGGGACTTCAGGATAATTTATTAATTCACAAGACATTCTACATAGGGTGGAGTTTTCTATTTACTACGATTTTTAGATAAGAAAACTAAGATTCAGAAATTCACTTCATTATCCACCCAATTAATAAATAAATATGAATTCCTGAGTTGCTTTTATTTATGATTAACATGCCCAGAGAACTAATAACACTTGCCATTTGCAACAATATGAAGGTAAAATAATGTAAATGTTTGTTAATACTCTAATAATCCTCACAAAGCATTTGAAAAGAAAATAGACATTTTCCATAATGTAGATATTGACATCTTGGAGTTTTTCTTAGAAGGATTTTTTTTCTCAGTTTGATCATATGCAGAGAAAATAGAAGAGGAAAAAATGTGAGAAAGTCACCTAATGCCAACCCAGAGCAATTTATCAGAATCATTGCCCATCATTTATGGTGGTAAGTAGCATGCTAAACTATGATTGTGATTGATATAATTTTAATGTCTTAGGAATCACTTTCTACAATGTATTTCCCTTAATGCATTTTAACTATTCATATTTAATTTAAAATAACTTTAATTAGAAATTTATTGTTAGGATAGAAAAATGTCAGAACCAATAATGACAAACATTGTAATAAATTTTAGAACAATTGTTTCCTGCCTTTTGGAATTGTGACTCACCTGGATGGCTTCTCCAATGTATAATTACACATAAAGACTCAGATATCAAAGGGCCATAAAAATGGACTTCCATTTCATTTTTATTTTGTCCCTATTCGCATCAGTTAAACTAGGTCAGAAGTTTGAAGACAAATGACAACCATAAATTAATCTTTCAAAATCCTAATGTGAACAGGAGTAGGAATTCAAATAGGTCTTGAATATTCCCTCAGCATGTATTGGGGGCTTAGCCTTTGATGGCTGTGCTCTGGAGCTGGGAAGACAGCAGTGACCAGAATAGGCAAAGTGACCTTTCTCAAAGGTCTGACATTCCATTGGGGTGGGAGTGACCAATACAATACTCTGTGTGTGTGTGTGTGTGTGTGTGTGTTGGAGGGATATGCTATGGAGCAAAATAAAGTAAAAGAGGGATGAGAGGACAGGCATTGCTGCAGCCTTAAACAGAATGATCAGGAAAGATCTCACTGAGAATATTTGAGCAAAGTGTTCGAAGAAAGTATGAGAGTGAGTTCTGAGGCCTGTGGGGAGCCACGCACAGAGGTCTTTGGGGCTGTTTGCCGGTGTTCCTGTCCTCCTCCTTCTCCTCTGGCCACATGGTGGGATGGCTTCTCCTGTCCCATGAAGAGAAATTGTTTTGGTTTATGAAAAAAATAAAAAAGAATTGGAACTGCTTTTTGTTAATGAACGCCAAGGTGGGTGAAGGGCTAAGAACCTGGGCAGGACATGCCAGCCTCCTTCTCCTCAAGTTAGTTAAATCCAGTTGGAGAGGCTGATGGACTTTGTTGCTTGAACCCTGAGGTTTGGGGGTGGCTTGTTGCAATGTAACCTATTCTGCTCTGACATGCCTTGGCAGGTGGCAGCATGTGGGATGTGTTTGAGGAATAGCAAGGAGGCTGCAGCAGCAGGTGGGCAGGTTCCTGAGACAAGGTCAGAAAAGTAAGGGAGGGAGGGATAAGTTGGATGAGCACTTGAAAGCCAATGTTGTTACCGTCTGTTGGTGCTGGGTTCCTTATCTCTGCTCAGCAAATAATTGAAGAACAGGACAGAGATAGCAAGCAAGCGGCAAATAGTTGCAAAAGGGACAGAGATAGACTTCTCTGAAGAGAAGGGCCCCAGAGCTGGGAATCCAGTGGGGATTTTGGCTTGTTCTTTTTATGGTTCTCTGGAATTTTCTCCTTTCCTTATCTCCTCCTCTGTCCACATTCTCCTCACTATTATTGATCGGTGCCCTCTCTGTCCATGTGTCTGTTTTAGTGTTTTTATTGGATTTCCTGCTTAGGAGCATGAATATGGAAGTGTGTCTGATTGGGTCCCCGCTTGTGTGAATGATCATTTTCATCAAACAGATAAGTTGACCTCATGAGAAGACCCTCTCCATGCTCCTTTGTTTTGGTCCTCTCCCTGGCCTCCTCACTCGCCATCTTGCCCTGGCAGCCTAAGCCCTTCTATATCTCCCTCATTGTGAGGCCTTGGGGTTTTATTCTCAGTGAAATGAATGGGGGCGTCCTAAAAGATTTCTGAGCAGAAACCTTTGCTAACTCCAGCTGCTTCCTGGAGTTAGGACACATATAGTTCATTATACTTGCCCCTATACTGTGGCCCTCACAGTATAAAACAGGGTCTGGGGTAAACTTGCTCAGGGTGACTTCCAGTGACCTGCTTGGGCAATATGTGAGTCAGGACTGGCCACCATGGGCTTTGCAGTTCCAGATCTCCTGGCTCCCAAAGGGGGACACTTGTAGCCACCCAGCAAAAGTCCCTGTCACTTCAGGCTTCTGGTGGGTGCTAAGAGGTCAGCAGGAGGAAAGGTGTTGCCACCCTGCACAGAAACTGACCTAATCTCTGGGACTTCCAGGGAAAAACAAAAACACATTTGGCACGCAGAGACTCCTGGGGCATCTCATTATTCCTCCTTGTCCAGATTTGGTGATGATAAATTGGCCTGTGCAGCAGGGGCTCAGGTCCTGATGGGATGAGGGTCTAATTCACCTCACCAGCTCAGTCACCTAAACCAGGAGAGAGTCCACCTGAGCCAATTTGGAATGGGCAGTTAAGGAGGGAGAAGATCAGTGTCACTCTGTCCCGAAACCATCTGTGGTAGCAGGGGCTATAGTTGGTCCCACTAAATTCCCTTCTGTAAGGCTCTCTGAGGAAAGAAACTAACTAGAATCTTGGAGCAGCTATTCTAAGATGGTGCAACTTGTTGGGCAATTCCAGCCGATCTGAGCTGTGCACAGGGTGGCTTTAGTAGATTTTGTGGTTTGTGCCCCAAAGCTCATTCCCCCAGCTGTCAAGAGAGTCTTACCCTTAGTCACAAGAGCTGGATGCTTCCTCAGAAGTTGCCCTTAGGTGAAGGGGACTTCCAGTCATGTTCTTGTCCTCTCCCTGGTGTATTCAAAATCATCGATTGTCAACTTGGGCAATATAAAGCCCAGGCCCCTCACTTCGATCTGGGACATCTTTGGAGCACATCAAGATGCCTACAGGATCAGCTGAGGTCTCTGCTGCAACTGCAACACAATTTGACTTCCTCTTCTGCACAGGCTTTCTCCTTCCCTCCTGTTGGTAGACAGAAGAATGGCCTCCAAAGATGATCACACCTTATTCCTCAGAACTGGGGCTGTGTTATCTGATATGGTCAAAGGAAATTTACAGATATGATAAAGTTAAAGATCTTGGGACAGAGCATTCCACTGAGCAAATTTATTGTTCCAAAGTTTTTTTTTCTTTTTATTGGTACCGGGACTGAACCCAGGGGCCACTTTACCACTGAGCTGCACCCCCAGCCCTTTTTATTTTGAGACAGTGTAAGTTGTTTAGGCCCTTGCCACGTGGTTGAGGCTGTCCTCGAATTTGTGATCCTCCTGCCTCAGCCTCTCAAACTGCTGGGATTACAGGTGTACATGACCACACCTGGCTCCAGGTGGGCAAATTTAATCAGAAGGGTCCTTATCAGAAAGAGGTGGGAGGTCAGAAGTAAGGAGGAGACCAGGCTGATGATTTTGGAAATAGAAGAAAGAGCCAGGAGCAAGGGGTGAAGGTGGTCTCTTGAAGAGGAAAGAGACAAGAAAACAGCTTCTCCCTAGGATCCTCCAGGAGGAGCAGTTCCCACTTCTGACTCTAGAACTGTAATATGATAAATTGTGCTGCACCAAGTCCCCAGGTTTGTGGCAATTCATTGCAGCAGCATGGGAGACAAATACTCCTTCCTTGCAGGTATTGTTTGGGAAAGCACACCCTTATCAATTTTCATCACGCAAACCCTTGCTCAGAGTCTGTTCCCTAGGAACCTGGCTTATGTACAATACCCACAGTGGTCAGATTGGATTAGGAGAAAGAATACTGGGGAACCAATCAAACTTAGTTGTGTAGAGAGTAGGCTTCCTCTGGATGAGTGAAACTGAGCCATAACTCACATTCGGCAGAGCCTTACTCTCAGCTCCATTTAAAAATCCATATCATAGTTCTTTGTTGTCTTATGGTCCAAGCTCCACATCAAGAGCAGTTTCTCCAGAAGTTTTATCACTTCCAGTTTTTTTTAAACATACTTTTGTTTTTAGACTTTATTTTGTTTATTTATTTATTTTTTATGTGGTGCTGAGGATCGAACCAAGTGCCTCATATGTGTGAGGCAAGCACTCTACCACCGAGCCACAACCCCAGCCCCACGCCAGGTTTTTTGGAAATAGAAATAGTCCCCAGATCCACTGTGTGTTAGACCCAGGATGGGAGGTAGAAGAATTGTGGGAGGACATTAGAATAATTTAGCCTCCTCTTGCTTTTTGATGGGACTTTGACCAGAGAGTATTCCTGTGTCACACAGGGTAATTTGTTACTCCTGAAAAGTCTCTTGAGGGTACTGCTGCAGAGTTGTCTGCAACCTGAAAAGGATTATGATGGTGTTAAAACATGCTTACAATTCCTTGACACTCCTCTGATCGAAAGGTGGGATTTCTGTACACTCCTCTTGAATCTGGACAAGCTTGTGCCTGCATTCACCAATGAAATGCCAATAAAGTGATGCTAAGTCACTTCTAAGAGCTGGTCATAAAAGACCTTGAGTTTTTTTCTGGTTCTCTTGGGCTCTCTCCCTCTTCCCTATAAGAAATTACCCTGAGCACCCCATGCTGAAGTGACGTGGGGGAGGCTTGTGGTCAATAGTCCCAGCTGAGTTCCCAGTGGACAGCCAGGCCTACTGTGGCCATCTGAGTGAGCTTTCTTAGACAAGCAGCTCAGTTGAGCCTTGATAATAATTGTAGCCCAACTGAAATCTGCCTGCAAATGCACAAAAGGCTCTGAATGAGAACTGTCCAGACCAGCTGGTCATATATTGTTATCATGATTCAATGGTGTCTGGAAGGTGCTGACTTTGATGATAAATTATTATGTAGTTAAAGTAACAAGGCCAGGGATCCAGTACAAGAAATATTCTTGTTACTGTAGGTCTGTCCCTAGAAATTGTGGATTCTAGAACAAGAATCCAAAAGGGGGCCCACATACCATATGTCTAAATATTTAAGATTATAAACCAAGTGAGCAAACTGATAAATAAAATATGTTCTTTTATCTCATCTTTAAAAATGTATATTCTTGGTGACAAAATAGAAAGTTGGCAAAATATAAAATGTAGTTGAATTTAATGAGTATTACACATGTCTGTTTTGTGGATGGGCTGATGGTATTTGGATGAGAAGTTGTTTTATCTTATAGAAAGTGGCATCCACTAAGTGTCACTATTGCAAATACATCCCTAATTCCAGAGTACTTCATGAACCAGGAATTGGAACATGAAGAAAAGAAAGGAAAAAAATAGGAAAGAAAGAAGAGAAGAAAAAAGACCCTCAGCACTCCTGGAAGCACTTTGCATGCCGGAGAACCTTCTGTGTATGTGGTCATTGAACAGCACAACTTGCCAAGTGAATTCATTTCACTTTTCCCTTACCTGACAGCCTCTCTCATCTAAACACTCCCCACAGTTCCAAGTAGTGTTATCCCTGACACAACAAACCACAAACTGTTAATCAAGTAGACACTATCTTGTGTTGACTGGGGACACAGGATGAGGGAGGTGGAGAGGCGTTTCTGGGGACCTGGGGAGTTCCCCATCAGAGTGGAAATTTAGGATTAAGGATGGTGCCATATTAGTGCCCAGTGCCAGATCCAGGAGCCTCAGTATACTGGATGAGTTTAATGTGTCATGGTGTGTGTACCTGTGATATATGGAGCCCCTGACAGCATGGACCAGCTCCAGCCCCTTACTGTCAGCATTGCCAATTCAGAGTTCCATACACAGGGTCCGTTTGTCTGGAAAACTGTGATGGGCTCTAACGACCTAGCATTTATCCACGTCCAACTCCCAAATTGCCAACCATAAGGAGTAATGAAGAGGCTGCAGGCCAGCTGTTTCTGTGACTCACTTTGAGCCACTGTCCCATTCAGTCACTCCTTCATTCTGCCCTTACTGTGTGGAGGTACCACTGTGGGCAGAGTGAGCAAGGCAGATGGTTCTGTCCTCACAGAGCAGAGGGAGAAGACTAAAGGTACATATAATCAAACCAGTAAGTAAGAGAGTTTAATAGAAGAATAAATTTTAAGAAGACAACAAAGCAGAAAATGGATTGGGGTGGGGAACTTTGGCTAAGGGGGAGGAAGGTGACCTTTTGGCTGAACCCCGTTGCACCATCGGAGGTAACTGTACACACACTGGGTGGATTAGCTGGCTGGATTTCCTGATATTAGAGGGTTAAGCAGAATCACTTCTCAAACTTCAACTTGATGACCATCTTTCTGAAGTAATTTCAGGTGCATTTTCTTAGCAAAGTGAATAGTGTAACCAATATAAACTTCTTCATACTTCTGGATATTCCAGCTGCTTGATGGTTAGTGCACAAAAGATATAGAATATGTTGTGATTAGGCCCAAATTGGCCTGAATCCAGAATTTGTCCTACAAAAAGCATTATATTAGCAGAATTTTATATCAGCTATTTTTCTACCTCTCTCTTTTTAATACCAATAAAGTAATAAAAAATTAAAAATCCCTGAGACTTTGGTAAAATAACATTCTTCTATAACTGATTTTAATATGAAAGACTTGATTAACCAGGTAATTTTTTTGCCATCTGGGGATTGAATGCAGGGTGAGTGCAACACAAGTGATCTACCAATGAGGTACATTCCCAACCCTTTTTATTTTACTTTGAAATAAATAAAATAAAACAAGGTCTTGCTGAGTTGCTGAGGCTGGCCTTGAACTCACCATCGTCCTACCTCAGCAGTTGAGATTACAGACATGAGCCACCATGTTCAGTTTAACCAGGCAAGTTTTTAAAAAGCAAAATTAGGTTATGAACTCCCATTTTTACCCCGGATACAGATTGCAGCATCACATCGGTTACACATCCACTGTTTTACATATTGCTATACTAGTGACTGTTGTATTCTGCTGCCTTTCCTATCCTCTACTATCCCCCATCCCCTCCCCTCCCCTCCCATCTTCTTTCTCTACCCCATCTACTGTAATTCATTTCTCCCCCTTGTTTTTTTTTACTTGAATCAAAGTGTGAAATATGATTTGTCAAGAACTATGTAATGTTTTGAACAACCAACAATAAAAATTAAAGAAAAAAAAGCAAAATTAGTATAGAATGTGATTTTTGGAAAATGTTTTTAAAATTCCAGTCCTGTATATGCCATGAGATTTTTAATAAAAGAATCCCTGAAGTTATAACTTCTTAGTCAGCCAATGTATCCTATAGGCTGATATATAGAACAACAACTTATTTTTTTTTCAATTTAGAAAAGGGAAATTTACTAGTTGGTTTTAAGAGAAATATGCATACATAATGTGGGATTTTTTTCTAACTCATAAGTATTTTATTCATAGAAATGAATCAGTCTAAACTGGGCATAATCCCAGTAGCTCAGGAGGCTAAGGTAGGAGGATGACAAGTTCAAAGCCAACCTCAGCAACTATTCAAACCCCTAAGCAACTTTGTGAGACCCTGTCTCAAAAAAAAGTAGAAGCAGGCTGGGGATGTGGCTCAGTGGTTAAGCACCTCCTGGGTTCCATCTCTGGAAAAAAAAAGTCTTTCCTTACAATATTTTCTAAATATGAAAGAGAAGAGAATCATTAGGCTTTGTTGTTGTTATGGTTTAGATATTAGGTGTCCCCCAAAACTTATGAGAGACAATGCAAGAAGTTTTAGAAGAGAAATGATTGAATTCTGAGAGCCTTAACCCAATAAGTGAATTAATCCCCTGATGGGGATTAACTGAGTGGTAATTGAAAGTGAGTAGGGTGTAGCTGGAGAAGGTGGGTCATGTGGGTGTGACTTTGGGGTATATATTTTGTATCTGGTCAGTGGAGCCTCTCTCTGCTTCCTGATCATCATGTGAGCCACTTCCCTCTGCTACTCTCTTCTGCCATGATGTTCTACTTTACCTCAAGCCCTGAGGAATGGAGCTGGCTATTTATGAACTGAGACCTCTGAAACTGTGAGCCCTCAAATAAACTTTTCCTGCTCTACAATTTTTCTGGTCAGGTCTTTTAGTCAGAGAAGCAAAAAAAAAAAAAAAAAACTGACTAAAACAGTTATTAATAATTAAAACCACATTAATTGTGTAAATAATATACTAAGTGATTTGTATATTAATAATATACTTTCATATTATTATATTATATATTATAATATACAAATATATTTGTATATTAATAATAATATACATCAGTTCATGTAATTATACAATACCTCTGTGGATTGGTGTGAGGTATTATTAGTAATTCTGATTTTATATTTGGGAAAGTAAACACAGAAAACATAAGTACCATGTCCAAAGCCACATAGTGGGAAATGGGGAGCCAGGAGCTGAACCTGTGCAGTTAGTCAATGCTTGAGATTTTGACAATAATCTTCTAGATATTTAGTACTGTTTTATTTTTTTCTTTATAATACTTAGCTATCATGATTACATTCTTATTTTCAAAATTAATCTGAACTGTATTTCATCTTTTGAGTTTTCAAATATAGCTTTAACTGTATAGTTATAAAATACTTTTTGAAAAATGAAATTTTATTCTAAAATGTGTGCAAAATTACAAGACACTGGGCTGGGATTGTGGCTCAGTGGTAGAGCGCTTACCTCTCATGTGTGAGGAACTGAGTTCGATCCTCAGCACCACACGAAAATAAATAAATAAAATAAAGATATTATGTCCATCTACAACTAAAGATAAAAAATTATAAGACACAAATACCATCGAAACAGATAAATGTGTACGTGTTTGTGTGCACCTGTGTGTGTGTGTGTGTGTGTGTGTGTGTGTATATATATATATATATATATAGAGAGAGAGAGAGAGAGAGAGAGAGAGAGAGAAGAGGGAATGATGAAACAAAGAATATGATTTTAGCCTTTTTCAGGAGACTTCATCAATAAAACCCAACTTAAAATATATTTTTTTCAAACAATTTAGACAATGTAAACAAATTTTCTCTCACATGTATATGTGAACTCTAGCATGATTTAAAAAACAGTCAAAAGTAAAATATAAAACTATACAAAATGAGTTAAAATACAATATATATGTGTGTATACATATATATATATATATATATATATATATATATATATATATATATTATGATAAATTGTAGATACAGAGTACATTAAATTAACTAGAATTTCTGAACAAATTGCACACCAAGTAATGACAAATATCCATAACAAATCATAGAGTGGCAAAGATATTGCAAAATGATTGTTGAGGGATTTAGTGCCAGAGTATTCCATTTAATCTGGAACTGCTTCTTCCTCCTTTTCCTTCTATTCTAACTCCAAAATAAATGAGGTTCTGTGAAACCTGATGTTAAACCATCAAATGGCTGATTGTGCTTTTGGCATTTTAATCAAGATCTTTGCATTAAATTCATTTTTTAGAACATCTTTTTTCTTCTTTTTCTAAACTCATCTTCTCAACATCTCAGGTACAAAATTCCATTACTACATCAGGGTATTGTTAGGGTGGCTTTCCTCCTTCAAGTGGACATTGAAAGTTCTCTCAACAAATAAAAACAAAAAGCAGAACATCTCCACAAGAATAAAATGACTTCATAAAAACATATTTTTTTATATTTTAATATTTCTTTTCTTAAAATACTATGAACAACTCACCAGTTCAGAGGTTTTAGAGACTGGACAAATATTTTTATTTTACTTGATGTAGTAAAGCTCAGAATGTAGTCAAGATGACAAAACTTTGTTCTATACAGACATTGGCATTTAAAAGAAAATTCTAGTTCAATATTATTTGGTTATGTCAATGAAGGTTCATCAATTGAAACAAATGTAGCATTTTAGTGAAGGATGTTGAAACTGATTAAGGGACAGGCTGTACATGTGTAGGGACAGGACATTTATGGGATGTCCCTGTACCTTCAGCTCAATTTTACAATGAACTTAAATTGTTCTAAGAGAACAATGTGGGGTGTGGGGTGGGATGTAGCTCAGTAGTAGAGCGCTTGCCTAGCAAGCAGGAGACCTTGGGTTCAATCTCCAGCACTACTAAGAACAAAACAAAATGAAACAAAGCAGACAAACACTAAAAGATGAAGACTGTTTTTAATAGGACACCCATAGCACAAGAGTTAATCACAAGTATCAACAAATGGGACTTACTTAAACTAAAAGTTTAAGTAAAAAAAGTTTTTTCTCAGCAAGAGAAACAATAAGAGAGGTAAATAGGGAGCCTACATCCTGGGAACAAATTTTTACTCCTCACACTTCAGATAGAGCCCTAATATCCAGAGTATGCAAAGAACTCAAAAAATTAAACAATAAGAAAACAAATAACCCAGTCAACAAATGGGCCAAGGACCTGAACAGACACTTCTCAGAGGAGGACATACAATCAATCAACAAGTACATGAAAAAATGCTCACCATCTCTAGCAGTCAGAGAAATGCAAATCAAAACCACCCTAAGATACCATCTCACTCCAGTAAGATTGGCAGCCATTATGAAGTCAAACAACAACAGGTGCTGGCGAGGATGTGGGGAAAAGGTACACTTGTACATTGCTGGTGGGACTGCAAATTGGTGCAGCCAATTTGGAAAGCAGTATGGAGATTCCTGGGAAAGCTGGGAATGGAACCACCATTTGACCCAGCTATTGCCCTTCTAGGACTATTCCCTGAAGACCTTAAAAGAGCGTACTATAGGGATACTGCCACATCGATGTTCATAGCAGCACAATTCACAATAGCTAGACTGTGGAACCAACCTAGATGCCCTTCAATAGATGAATGGATAAAAAAATGTGGCATTTATACACAATGGAGTATTACTCAGCACTAAAAAATGACAAAATCATGGCATTTGCAGGGAAATGGATGGCATTAGAGCAGATTATGCTATGTGAAGCTAGCCAATCCCTAAAAAACAAATGCCAAATGTCTTCTTTGATATAATGAGAGCAACTAAGAACAGAGCAGGGAGGAAGAGCATGAGAAAAAGATTAACATTAAACAGGGACGAGAGGTGGGAGGGAAAGGGAGAGAGAAGGGAAATTGCATGGAAATGGAAGGAGACCCTCAGGGTTATACAAAATTACATACAAGAGGAAGCGAGGGGAAAGGGAAAAATAATACAAGGGGGAGAAATGAATGACAGTAGAGGGGGTAGAGAGAGAAGAGGGGAGGGGAGGGGAGGGGAGGGGGGATAGTAGAGGATAGGAAAGGCAGCAGAATACAACAGACACTAGTATGGCAATATGTAAAAACGTGGATGTGTAACCGATGTGATTCTGTAATCTGTATATGGGGTAAAAATGGGAGTTCATAACCCACTTGAATCAAATGTATGAAATATGATATGTCAAGAGCTTTGTAATGTTTTGAACAACCAATAATAAAAAAAGCAAAATAAATAGATAAAACTTTTAAGGGGGCTTAATCCACTGAGTAAAACACATGTTTAATTACATAGCTCCTGACTACCATCACCTTTTGGTTGCTTCTTCAGGAACCTGGAGTTTTCTGTGAACACTGATATTTTAAAAAAAAATTCTGAGGCATTTTCAGAAAAATTAGGCCCCCCAACTTGTTATTATTAGCAGAAAAGATCTAAAAAACATATTTTTTTCAGATTGTCTACAATCAACCATTTTCCAGGCATTTATTTTATTTTATTTTATTTTTTTATAATTTTTATTGTTGGTTGTTCAAAACATTACATAGTTCTTGACATATCATATTTCACACTTTGATTCAAGTGGGTTATGAACTCCCATTTTTACCCCGTATACAGATTGCAGAATCACATCGGTTACACATCCACTGATTTACCTATTGCCATACTAGTGTCTGTTGTGTTCTGCTGCCTTTCCTATCCTCTACTATCCCCCCTCCCCTCCCCTCCCCTCTTCTCTCTCTACCCCATCTACTGTAATTCATTTCTCCCCCTTGTTTTTTTCCCTTTCCCCTCACTTCCTCTTGTATGTAATTTTGTATAACCCTGAGGGTCTCCTTCCATTTCCATGCAATTTCCCTTCTCTCTCCCTTTCCCTCCCACCTCTCGTCCCTGTTTAATGTTAATCTTTTTCTCATGCTCTTTGACCCTACTCTGTTCTTAGTTACTCTCCTTATATCAAAGAAGACATTTGGCATTTGTTTTTTAGGGATTGGCTAGCTTCACTTAGCATAATCTGCTCTAATGCCATCCATTTCCCTGCAAATTCTATGATTTTGTCATTTTTTAATGCAGAGTAATACTCCATTGTGTATAAATGCCACATTTTTTTTTATCCATTCGTCTATTGAAGGGCATCTAGGTTGGTTCCACAGTCTTGCTATTGTGAATTGTGCTGCTATGAACATCGATGTAGCAGTGTCCCTGTAGTATGCTCTTTTTAGGTCTTTAGGGAAAAGACCAAGAAGGGGAATAGCTGGGTCAAATGGTGGTTCCATTCCCAGCTTTCCAAGAAATCTCCATACTGCTTTCCAAATTGGCTGCACCAATCTGCAGTCCCACCAGCAATGTACAAGTGTACCCTTTTCCCCACATCCTCGCCAGCACCTGTTGTTGTTTGACTCCACAATGGCTGCCAATCTTACTGGAGTGAGATGGTATCTTAGGGTGGTTTTGATTTGCATTTCTCTGACTGCTAGAGATGGTGAGCATTTTTTCATGTACTTGTTGATTGATTGTATGTCCTCCTCTGAGAAGTGTCTGTTCAGGTTCTTGGCCCATTTGTTGACTGGGTTATTTGTTTTCTTATTGTTTAATTTTTTGAGTTCTTTATATACTCTGGATATTAGGGCTCTATCTGAAGTGTGAGGAGTAAAGATTTTTTTCCCAGGATGTAGGCTCCCTATTTACCTCTCTTATTGTTTCTCTTGCTGAGAAAAAACTTTTTAGTTTGATTAAGTCCCATTTGTTGATTCTAGTTATTAACTCTTGTGCTATGGGTGTCCTATTGAGGAATTTGGAGCCC